TTTAATAATTAAGAGTCTTATTTGCTTAGTAGCACTATATATATCTTATATAACCTAGCCTACTATATATAGGATTTCTAGAAGACCTATGTTTAATTTCCTATATAGGCAGCAGAAGGCAGCAACAGGGTATTCCTTTACGTTAGACCTAACCCTACCCCTAGTATAGGCATATATTGCTTAGCTGCCCTCTAGATTACAAACTAGCTCTAATAGAAATTAGCACCTTCTGTAAAAGCTAGGGGGGTGTATTAAAAGTAGTATATATAGCCTGAATTCTTATAGATATATAACAGCTAGCAGGAGCTCTACTTCTTTTATATATTTAATAATAATAGATACTAGGTAGTAATTAATATAAATAAAGAGTATATAAAATAGTAGATTTTAGCTAGGTAGAAAGTATAATAATACTAGACCGAAATTAAATACCCCTGCTAGGTAACTTACTAATGTTTACCCCCCTACTATGTTAGGTATAGCTAACATTACGGCACTATTTTCCTAGCCTGCCAGCCGGCCGGCCGGCTAGCTATCACTTTTCCCTCTATCTATCCTATCGCCTATCACCTATCGCCTATCACTACTATAGATAACTACCGCCAGCCATCTAATATCTATACAAAGCACCTATCTAATATTAATCGTGTACAGATACGCACCCTCTTTTTTAACAGCAGACTTAATAGGCAAGAGATTGCCAGCCGGACCGGATTTTCTATTACCTAAGTTAAGAATGCCCTTTAGGCTCCTAGTGCCTCGGCCCGGCCCCAATCCGGCCGGCCAGGCGCCCTTTCCCACAAGCAAGAGCAACAGCTAGTTAAGTATATATCCGCTTCTCATCAAGGCCGGCTTGCCAGCTTCCTCCAGCTCTCTCTTACCCTCTTTAATAGGGCCTTTAGCGAGTATATAATCTAAAGCACTCTCCGCCAGCTAGGTTATCGCCAGTACGTTGCCTAGCAGAAACCTATTATCTCAGAAGAAACCCGCCAGGCCCAGCTTACCTAGGCTCAAGCCTATATTTACTAGTCTATAGATAACTAGATAGGTATCTTATGGACGGATAAGACGTGGGTTAACGGCAGCACCTATTAGAAGGTCTATATAATAACTCCCCCACCCTATATCTAAGCCACCCCCGCATCTAAGCCACTATTACCACCACTATCACTACCACTATTACTACTTATTTTACTATCTCTACCGCCTACCTATATATAACTTTTGGCCTCGCTAGGTAATTTAGATGCCCTAGATTTATCTAGACTATCTATATTACCAGGATCTAGACTTTAGGCCTAGATTATATCCTCTATAGTAGTAAAGGTGCTATTAAGAGATAATTAGACCCTTTTCCTCTTATATAACTATATATTATTTAATTAGGCCTATAATAAGTTAACCTGCCTTTCTAGAAAGGCTACTCTAGATACCTACTTATTATAGCCCTTTTATAGCTTTCTAAATAGGTAGTAAATAGTATAAGTATCTAACTTATCCTTACCTAACTAGATTAACTAGTATAATTAATACTATTAATTAGTAAATTAATAAGGCGTTAACTATAAGATAATAGATTTAGCTTTATCTTACTATTAGCTACTAGTCTACTAGCTAGGCTAGCTCTATTAGGCCCTAGTTACTATTAAGTTAGATAGAAGGCGTCTTATATATATAGGCTATAATCTAGATAACCTCTAGCTACTACTAATATTAGTAGATATAATAAATACCTTATAGGCCTTAAAATAACACTTTAAGAATACCTTTTTACTAGTAATAGTTAAATCTATAACCTAGTTATCTAAATATCTAACCTCCTTATAATAGGCCTACTTTAATAGGCTAAAGATAGCTATATCTAGAGGCTAGAGGACAGTAGGGGCATATAGTAGTAAAAATAGTAGATATATATTATACTACTAGTATTACTATATAAAATTAATAGTTATATATCTATAATACCTATTAAGAACTAGTAGTCTAGCCTCCTCTAGCTAGATAGGCTTAGTGTATAAAATAAAGACTTTCTCTAGCTATTTAAGGGTAGTATTATTAGTTATCTAGCTATTATTAGTTACTATAAATTACTATAGCTTATATATATTAAGGTTAGATAAGAACTACTAGGCCTAAAGTAATTTACCCTTATATATAACTAAGGGGGGTAAAAAGCTACTAGTAGTAAATATACACTTAATAATAAATACCTATACCTAGGATCCTAGCTGCTTTTTCTAGATATATTATAATACCTTAAAGCCTAGCACTAGCCTATTACCCCCTCTACCCTCTATAATACTAGTCTTATCTATATTTTATCTATTAGATAAATAAATTCCTTAGATAGTAAGGATACTACTAAGGTAATAAAAGAAATCCTAGATAACCTTAGGGGAATAAGCTGTTTATTACTAGGTATTAATTACTCTAGATTAGAGGGTTTTAATAAATAGATTTTACTATATAAATTAGGCTATTTATTTCCTACTTATAAGAGGATACCTATTACCTATTATACACTTTACTAAGCCTTTTACTTATTAATAGTTAATATATCTACTAAGGGACTATTAAAAGGTAATATAAGCAGCTAGATTATCCTCCTAGGCCTAGGATAAGTGCTGCCTATCTTTAAAGGCAGTATTCCTGCTTTACCTACTATAGTATTAATATTAAAGTGTTTAATATAGTATACCCTATACGTAAGCAGTAGCCTGTATTCCCTTTCTAGACTACACCTCTAGAAGGGCCTGTTAGAGCTTATCTTTAGAATATTACTTTATAATAGGTTAAAGAAGGTATTCTAAAAAAATAGCGTTATTTAGTTATAAATAGTAATTATTATAATAGTTTAAAAAAAGTAGTAGTGTTAATAAAGGAGGGGAAATGCAGCATTTTTGGGTGGCTTGGATGCGGGGGTGGCTCGGATATAGGGTGGGGGAGTTAAGGCAGGCAGATAAAGAGCTAGATCTAACGTGCCTTATCTAGCGCCTAAGGCAAGGGAAAGGTTAGATGTTTTAGGGCTCTTTTTAGGGTGTCCAGAAGGGCCCTAGATTAGTATAGGATATAGAGAGATAGGGGACTATTAACTAGTATTCCTACTAAGAACATATAGTCCTATTAATTACTAGATTTATTAACTAGCATTAGTAATCCTAAGGCTAGAGGCTTGCCCTTATACAGGAGAAAGCCTAGTTACATACAGCCCAGATAACAATAGAGGACTTTACTAGGCAAGAGATAGAGGTTATTAATTTTCCCCTATACTCACTAGATCTTAACCCTATTAAGCCTTGTTAGAACTAGATAAAGGACTATATCTAGATCTATCACGGGTATATCTAAGGGCAAATACCCTGCCGGGAGCTATATAGGTGGGTTAGAGAGGCCTGGGATGCCCTTCCAGATGAATATTACGCCTAGCAGCTCTATAGTATGCATGATAGATGCCAGGCAGTGATTGATGCGAATGGAGGGCATACGAGATAGTGAATTTTGGCTAGGTAGAAGGGGGTAGAAAATATAGTGGTTTCTATGAATCATGTGTGTGTGGGTATGTGACATCACAGGGGTATTTTACTTACCCCTGTCACCCTGTAGTAGAAAATGTAGTAGTTTCTATAAATTATAGTGTGTATAGCGCTATAACATTACAGGGGTCTTTAACTTACCCCTGCTACCCTGTACTTTAGCTAGTACTTAGTGTGTATTATTATTAAATAAAGCAGAATTACACGTAAATTAACTAGTAAATATATAGTTACCTTACGGCGGATTATTAGGGAATAGGTAGTAAATTAGCCCTACTTCTAGGGGTAAATCTACTAATTATATAGCTAGGATTAGCCTAGGATTTCCTAACTAAGTAATAGGGGGGATTTCCTTATTCCTTTAGGATTTTATAATATATATAACAGAATATATTAATTAATTAACTATTATAATCCTTATAATTTAATAGCTAATAATAAAGCAAAGCTTTACTACTAGATAAAGGAGGAAAACGTATAAGATATTAAAGAATAATTAATAAATAAATAAGCTATATATAGAGGATATTTAGTACAGGCTCTATAGTAATTAATTATAGTGCTAGCACTAAGGGGGTGTGTTAAATATAGCAGAATTACACGTAAATTAACTAGTAAATACACAGTTGCCCTATAGTAGATCGTCAGGGAATAGGCAGTGAATTAGCCCTACTTCTAGGGGTGAATCCACTAATCATATAGCTAGGATTAGCCTAGGATTTCCTAACCAAGGAATAGGGGGGATTTCCCTATGCCTTTAGGATTTTATAATATATACAACAGAACACATCAATTAATCAACTATTACAATCCCTACGATTTAACAGTTATCTGTCCTTGTTCAAAGTTACAACAGTTATCAGAGTTACTAATTAGCCTCTTGGACATATATCTCTGTGCATAGAAGGGTAGATATAACAGGGTTCTTTTACTTGCTTCTACTACTACCTACCCTATAAACTCTAGTAACTGTAATGCAACGTAATTGCATGGGGTCCCATAAAACTGAATCGGTGAGAATAAGAGGAAACACATCGTAAACTTTTGTGTTTTGCGCTCTCCTAGATAGAAAGATGAGAAACGTATGACCTTAAGACACCTGTCTCAACCATAGTCATCCCACTTCAGGCCCCTAGATAGTAGGTTTTTTCCTTCTTCAGAGATATCCCAGACTTCACCACCATAAATACGACAGTATTGTTACCACTTCATCGTCTCACCGAACACAGCATAGGGGACAAGAATACATGCTTCTAGGGCAATTTCCTTCACTCGATTCAACGCCTCGTAAGCTTTGAGCCTTATCTCGGTATCAGAAGCGCATTTCTCGGCTTCCGTGTGCTGGTATACTTCCATACTGTTGAAGAAGTCCGACAGCGACAAAGCCACGTCAGCGTTTCAGGAACGTAAACCCTATTGCCCCGGGATACGGCTAGGTAGAGTGGCTACCTGAAAGATTTTGCCAGAATGCTCTCCTACCCAGGCTGGTGGACATATCTCTTACCGGGATGGTTCAGCTTCATTGCTCTTCTTGTCGTTATAGTATCAGACCTACTCAGACGGCATCTTAATGATCCAAGGCAGTCTCAAGTGCGAGAACCACCGAGTCTTCCACATCGAGTTCCATTCATTGGGCACGTAATCGGCATTCTTACTAAGCAAGTCGGACATTTTCAGGATGTTGGGTATGTCAATAAAGTCGTTGCTCCTGAGAAGACCTTATTTAAGCTCATGTAAACGAACACAGTATCAAGACTGCAGTCTCTGCAGTAAGCTTGCCGGTTCTAAGCGGCAAGATGTATGTAATCTTCGAACCCTCTTTGATGCAGCATGCGCTGCGGTCCCCATCTTTGTCGTTTGAGCCATTGATGATCCAACATGCCCAAGGGCTGCTCGGAGTCAATGCGAAGACCATGTCTGCTGTACACTCTGGGTTACTGGGTGACCTGCTGCGGGCAACGAAACCAGCGTTCGCTGGCGAGCAACTCGAGATACATAACCTCACTGCCTTGAATTACTACGCAAGTGTGATCAACAATATTCGACCTGGAAAGACTCTACAGCTGGTCAACCTCTACTCCTGGTTGCAACGTATCGTCACAGTGGCCTCGGCAGAAGCATTATATGGTACTAGGAACCCGATAACAGCAGGCTCGACCCTCGTAGATGATGTTTGGTAAGCCATTGCCTGCTTTCCTGCGTCCTATAGCTTCAAGACTGGATGTAATTACTGACATTATTTTCCCATCGAGTAGGACACTTGAAGGGGGTGTGCAAAAACTTACATTCAGCGTTCTCCCATCGATTACATCAAGTGGCCCGTATAATGCCCGCGAACGACTGGTAGAGGCACTTGCACCGTTGTTCGATCTTGCCACGATAGATTCTCTACCGTTTGTATCAAGGTGTAGGGCGGGGGTGATTCGAGCGCATGGAATCACAAGTCCGGAAGACATTGCCCGCTGCGAGCTGGCGATGCTCCACGTTGCCACGGTGAATACCGTGCCGATTCTGTTTTGGCTGGTTGTCAACATCTTCTCGCAGCCAAATCTTCTCAAAGCGCTGCGCTTGGAGTGCTCACTTCTAATGAAGAGAGAGTCCACCAGTTGCCAGGGGGAAGCGGGGGTATCTGAAATCAATATTAGCATCAGCTCACTGCAAGACTCATGTCCTTTGTTAAAGGCCTGCTTTCAGGAATGTCTGCGCATTTACGGTCAAGCACTGCATAGCCGCCGAGTCCACAGCGATACGGTGTTTACAGACACCCAAGGCCAAGAATATCTCTTCAAAAAGGGCGTAGACGTGATGATGCCTAGTGGAGTTTCGCATACCACGCCTCGCGCCTGGGGCCCCAATGCTGAAGAGTTTCATGCGGCGCGCTTCATGAACTGGCCGCAGAATGCAAGCCGTGAACAACGCGCTGCATATATGCCCTTTGGAGGCGGCAAGCACCTGTGTCCTGGCCGGAATTTTGCGACAGCCGAGATCCTCGGATTTATGGCAGCACTTTGCTTGGGGACCGATGTCCAGGGGCCTGATCGATCAGAAACAACACTCATGGTTCCAGGATCCAGCCCAGCAGTGCTTGGCCAGGCGATATCGAAGCCTATAGATTTTGCGAAAGGTGAAGGCCTGGGGGTTAAGATACGTAAAAGGGAGGAGTTTGAGTACGTCAAATGGCGTTTTCAAGGCTGAAGACGATAACTCCCCCACCCTATACCCAAACCACCCCCGCATCTAAACCACCCGAAATTCCCGCATTTCCCCTCCTTTATCAACACCACTACCTTTTTTAAACTATCATAACAATTACTATTTATTACTAAATAACGCCATTTTTTCAGGATACCTTCTTTAAACTATTATAAAGCAATATTCTGAAGATAAGCTCTAACGGGCCCTCCTAGATATATAGTCTAGGCAGTATAGCCTCTAGGCTATTACTTATAGATAAGGTATACTATATGTAACACTTTAGTATTAATACTTTAGTAGGTAAAGTAGGAATACTACCTTTAAAGATAGGCAGCACTTATCTTAGGCCTAAGAGGATAATCTAGCTGCCTATATTACCTTTTAATAGTCCTTTAGTAAATATATTAACTATTAATAAGTAAAAGGCCTAGTAAAGCGTATAATAGGTAATAGGTATCCTCTTATAGGGAGAAAATAGATAGCCTAATTTATATAGTAAAATCTATTTATTAGAACCCTCTAATCTAAAGTAATTAATACCTAGTAATAGGTAGCCTATTCCCCTAAGGTTATCTAGGATTTCTTTTATTACCTTAGTAGTATCCCTACTATCTAAGGGATCTATCTATCTAATAAATAGAATATAGATAAGACTAGTATTATAAAAAGTAAAGGGGGTAATAGGCTAGTACTAGGCTTTAAGGTATTATAATATATCTAGAAAAAGCAGCTAAGATCCTAGGTATAAGTATTTATTATTAAGTGTATATTTACTACTAGTAGCTCCTTACCCCCCTTAGTTATATATAAAGGTAAATTACTTTAGGCCTAGTAGTTTTTATCTAACTTTAATATATATAAGCTATAGTAATTTATAGTAACTAATAATAGCTAGATAACTAATAATACTACCCTTAAATAACTAGAGAAGGTTTTTTATCTTATATACTAAGCCTACCTAGCTAGAGGAGGCTAGACTACTAGTTCTTAATAAGTATTATAGTTATATAACTATTAATTTTATAATTAGCGGGAGTGAACCGGCAGCGTCTCTTATACGTGCTGGGGAGCGTCTTGGTGGGAATGGCATATTGCTCTACTTGTTATTACCCGCCCCTAATCGTACGATAGTACTTAGCGGTAAACCATGGAAAAACCCTAAAACACCTCCCTGTTGGCGCCTAGGGCCCTTGTTTATTGGTCTTACTAGGGCCTAATAAAGCTAGCCTAGCTAGCAGACTAGTAGCTAATAGTAAGATAAAGCTAAATTTATTATCTTATAGTTAACGCCTTATTAATTTACTAATCTATAGTATTAATTACACTAGTTAATTTAGTTAGGTAAGAATAAGTTAGATACCTATACTATTTACTACCTATCTAGAAAGCTATAAAAAGGCTATAATAAGTAGGTATCTAGAGCAGCCCTTCTAGAAAGGCAGGTTAACTTATTATAAGCCTAGTTAGATAATATATAGTTATATAAGAGGAAAAGGGTCTAATTATCTCCTAACAGCACCTTTACTACTATAGAGGATATAATCTAGGCCTAAAGTCTAGATCCTAGTAATATAGATAGTCTGGATAAATCTAGGGCATCTAAATTACCTAGCGAGGCCGAAAGATGTATATGGGTGGGCGGCAGAGATGGCGAAATAAGTGGTGATAGTGGTGGCGATGGTGGTGATGATGGTGGTTCGGATGTGGGGGTGGTTCGGATATAGGGTGGGGGAGTTATGTATCTTTGCTTTAGACAACAAAATAGGTTTGAGGGCGATTATATACACCCACTCATCCTCAGAGTCATGACACGGTTTAGTAAATATAAATTGTCCTATCTTGTGTTAATTATATTAGTTAGTCATATTATCTTCCAGCAGGTCAAAGCACCCACTTCTCGCCCAACCCTAGACTTCGCCCACTCATGCAACGAAGCGAAGGAGAGAGATGCATTTTACTGTATTACAGAAGAAGGAAAATCTTGCATTCAAGCCTGTTTAACGACGTCATTGGTTAGTTGTTTCAAGTTAGTTTAGTGTGGTGTGTCTGGAGCAGTGCTACCAATAATTCCAATAAATCCAATCCGCGCTATACTTGCTTGATTGACTCTTCTGCCGGCCCATATTGATTGATTGATATATTTGCCCAATCAGTCAATCAAATACGTGTATTACGTAACGCTAGAAGCAGCCCTACGATTACCCGAAAAGGAGATTAATGAAGGTATCACCATGCCTCAGTACGTCATCCCAGGCCTCAACAATGCTGCGCCAGCACCTAGTGGCACTGCCCCCCTGTTCACCCAGTTCTTCAATAGCTGTAGCTTCTCCACCACTTGTGGTTGCAGAGCCTGCCTCTGTCAAGTGATCGTTAGCTTTGCAGAACTGAATGCTCGCTCACAGTCAGCAGCCATTGGAGGGATGGCCAAAATATCTAAAGCCAGCTTGCTGAGCTGTGGATAATCAGCTTGGTGATCCCTCCGCCACTTCACAGGGTCGGTAGCACGCTGAGGAGGCCGCCTGAGATACATTGCCAGCTCGTCATCAGTCTGAGGACTTTTTTTAGTACTCTCCCTCCCTCTTCTGCTATTAACCCATTGCTGAAGTGGCTGTCTTCATGAGGAAGAAGGCTGATCTCACTCACTTCAAACCCATCACCCGAATTATCTGCTGGTCTATACCAGCGATCAAAATGGTCCCGAATTCCCTTCTTTGCATCACGAAGCCAGCTAAGCTGCTCACCCTCATCCCAAATTGCCTCAAGGTATGAGATACCAAGACCTGGATGTAGAATGATGGAAGCAGCAAAGAGAGGGGAATCACCCAGCTTCTCATAGTATGAGACCATATTCTGCCAGGTCAGCTCAACAGAAGTACGAAGATGCTCCTGGCATCTCGAAGAGAGACTTCCAAACCGTGAGGTATGAAGAGCCTAGTCTTCTGTGATATGCCGAGATAGGGCAGGGCATACCTGAATGACTTCAGGTGATCTGACGGGTCGACCTGATCGTGTCTGGGACTGTTGGGAGCCATCAACAGCAGTTATGTCAATCTCTGGGGCGACTGGATGGATGACAGAGTTGTAGAAGTTCTTCCACTCCTCCAGATGCTCAAGGATGTATTCCATACCAGTCATAACCTCCCAGAGACGACCATACGCATCTCCCTTGCCCCAGCCCTCAGTCCTCTTAGTCTGAAGGTAGAAAGGCTCCAGGATAGCCTTAATCTCGGCTAAGACCTTCCAATCCTCTGGTCCCAAAGGATCATCATTAGGGATCCTTTTTGCACCCATCTCGTCACTCTGAACGAAGTTGACGTAGGTCTCTAACTCCGCCTTCTTTTCTAGAGCTCTCTGGATCATAAGGTAGGTAGAGTTCCATCGAGTGTCGTTATTGAGGATAAGCTGGGTCTCTCTGTGACCTTGAGAGAAGAGCTCGAAGTCAGAGCCATCGTCAACTTCTCTTGAGGTCTTCTGAAACCTTTCCGACCTCTGGAGTGATGACCTAATGAAGATGGCGATGTTTCGAAGCTTGCCAATAGGACCAGCCTTACACCAGAGTTTAAGATCTTCAGCCTGATTGTGAATAGACTGGTAGAAATCAGACTCTGCCCCAAAGACCTCACGATCGTTGCCAAACAGCAGGGCCCTGGCCACAAGGTTGAGGATGTGCCCATAGCATCTCATCCTCCTTGCCAGCCGATCATGTTTTAACATAGAAGGACTCAGCTTCTTAAACAGATGGTCTGTGCAAGTGTCGTTGTTGGTGGCATTATCAGAGACTACCACTCCGACCAGGGACTGGATACCCCAACCATCTAAGCTCTGGAAGATGTGGTTGGCGATATTAACACAAGAGTGATCAACCTGTATGTGGCTGAAGTCAATAAGGCGATTCCGATGCTCCCCAGCATTTTTGATAAAATGTGCAGTGACTGCGAGGTAGGCGATATTGTTCGGCGAGGTCCAGAGATCGAATCCAAGGTGTATCTTGGAGATGGCAGTCAAAAGATCATGTCTGACAGAATCCCTGCCTCTTGGGAATAGAATTCCAAGGTGCTTGAGCATAGAGGACCTCCCCCACGGCACTTGTTGGGCAACAGAGTTGTCATGGTACTGCAGGAGATACTGCATAAAGTCTCCGAAGTGATTGAATGGGAGGTCGTTGGTGATGATGATGCTAAGGCACAGGTCTTGAATAGTTGCAACCTTAGCCTTGGGGATATTGGAAGTTTTCCTCCTCTTAGCAGATGGCCCAGGAGAGGACTGACTGCCCGCAAGGGTCTCTTCAGACCCAGACTCATCAGAGTTTTGATTGAAGAATGTGACTTTGTGGCACCTAGTCATGATTAGCCTTACCCTCAGCCTTGCTATAAGTATTGCATACCTTCGAAGATGGTCGGCAGGAGAGCTTGAGGCAGCAGCAGACAAGAATTCAGGTTTGCCTTTAGCATCCCAGCGACCGCAGCACCAGTATGAAGAAGCTGCTTGCCCCTGGGCGTCTAGCTCGGTAAGGAATGTACCATGATCTCTAATCCGGGTCTTTCTGCCTCTGCTGCCCTTGCGTAACACCTGCTCCTCCAAGACAAAGCGCCGATTCTCCCACACAATCTTAGGGAGATCAGAAATAGTTGGATTGATAGGTATAGCAGCTGCAAAACTTGTTTTTACCTGGGTGGCTAGTCGGATGGGGGATTGAAGTCGTTAAAGAGCATTGGTGATGAAGGGAGGAGGGGAGGACATCTGAAATAAGTGCGCTAATCAGCAGCCGAGTACCTTGAGAGAGAAAATGCAGAAGAAGTTGGTGATGTGGGAGAGTGGTGGAAGCTACGCTGCTTTGGCATGAGGAGGGAGGAAGACGGCATTGGAAGAGGGCGATTGCAACCTATTTATAGCGAAAACTGAGGAATCGGGATGTCACAGATCACTCTAGATAGTTGCCAGATGAGGTAAATGCCATTGGAGAGATTAAAAAAAGAGGCCCTGAAGTCACGAAAAATCGC